GACAATGCGAGTTCTCACACCGCATACAGAAAAAAGAGTTTTTAGAGCAAGAAAACATAGAATTATTAGATCATGCGCCGTACAGCCCCGACCTAAGCCCTAATGATTTCTATACTTCCCTAAAATAAAGAATAAATTGCGTGGACAGAGATTTTCATCACCTGAAGAAGCTGTGGACGCCTACAAAACGGCCATTTTGGAGATTCCAACTTCCGAATGGAATGGTTGCTTCAATGATTGGTTCCATCGTATGGAAAATGTGTCAAATTTCGCGGGGAATACTTCGAAAAGCAATAAATACATTTTTAAATAGTAATGTTGTGTCACTTCCTTGATCCCCAAAATTTTCAGTGCTGCCCTCGTACTCGGTACACTCATGTGTTTATCCTTGCCTACTTTGTATGCTTCACCATTCACCTATTTACATATTTCGTACTAGCTTTTTACCCGCGGCTTCGCTCGCGTGGGCTTTAGTTTAGCAACATTAATAAATGTTGTTCCGTGCCATATTTAACAAAATTCGATGACGATCAGAGTCACCTCTGTGTCTGTGTCTCTATATATGTTTGTTAAAGATTTTTTTTTTAATCTCAAGAACGTAGATGGACGTTGGACGATGGAGGTAGTTGGACGTAGATGATTGATATTTGGCATAGATTATATTATATTTTACAGGAACACGTGAATAAGTTTTTCATGTTTGCATTAATATCTCCGTATGCACCTATTATTTTTTATATCTGGTGTGTCTTCCAATGTATATATATATATATATATATATATATATATATATATATATATATATATATCAGAAAGGTCAATTGTCTTGGAATCAAAATTTCGAAATGATCAAAGAATGCAAAACAATGATGAATTTCACTGTCGACCATTAATTTAAGGCATGATGTTTATTTGCTATATTTGATTCATATCATTGGTCCCATTTAATATTGATTGGCATCATAAAATAAATGCTGATATTATTTTTACGTTTTAGTAGACTAAAATTCTGTTCTATAATGATTTCTTATATTTACGCAAATACTACACATGGAATAAAATAAAATTTACTAATTTTATCGCTTTTAATTTTGATTTCTTATGTTTACGCGAACACTACACATTGAAATAATACTAGTTTTTACGGAATTTATCGCGTATATTTAACTTTTTAAATACTCGACGTTTCGAACGGTTTACAGCACTCATGGTCACGGGCGGGACTGAGATGTTCAACGTCCATATGTCATAGTTAACCACGGTTACCATAGATTAAAATTTAACTTTTGTTCCGATCTATGCAGTATGAACTTATGGTATCTTGAAGTCTTGCAGTTGTATGCTTGGGTTGGGATTTAATTTTATTTATTATATTTTACCGTTTTTACGTGGATTTTTTACTCATCTTTGGGTGTAAGATCCATAAAAACGCGTAAAAGAACATATCGATGATGTGAAGCACCGACGTTCCGGGAGGTCTGTTCAGTATCGTCCCAACAATTATATCAGATCTGATAAAACATAAACCCACGCCAAAGAACTGCGACTTCTACCAAGGATGATTTGCAAGGTTATTGAAATTAAAAAAAAGCTAATTTCAATAGAGAACATGTCAGGGTGCTACCATCTACTTGGGGCCCCATAATTAATAAAATTTTAATTCAAACCCAGGCCAACTACTGCAAGCCTTCGTTAACTATGACATCAGACGTCAAATACCTCAACCCCCCCCCCGTGACCATGGGTGCTGTAAAGTATTAAAAAAGTTAAAATTAAACGCGATAAAATTCTTAAAATAATTTTAATTCCAAATGAAGATCTATTCACAGTGAAAGAGTGGAAGGCCTACACTCATGAACGGGAGTAGAAAAATGTTCGCCTTGTTTTAGTAGCGAAAAAGTTTTCGTCACCTTGTTACAGCAAATTTTGTCGTTTGTATGTTGTTTCATTTGTTATAGCAAATATCCAGCCTATTTGACAATTTATAGGGGAGGCCTATGTGGACATTTGATAGGCTGTAATGATGACGATGATGAGTTCTACGCATTGATAATTGCCCCATTAAAAGTAAAAAAGTAGCAGCCTAAATCTCGTCATTGTCATTACTGGGCACAGGCTGCAGACAAATTTTGGTCAAAAAAGTTTTCGCTGCTCTGACCCCAACACGGTATGACCTCAACTGGAGAACCAGATATGCAGGTTTCCTCGCGATGTTTTTCTCACGAACGTGGTAAATTCAAATTGTAATAAAAATACTTTTTAACTACTCAGACATCTAGGTTTCCCCACGAAGTAATTGTTCCCCACTTGAACCATTCCATCAATGAACTATTCCATCAAATAGAGTTAAGGCGACACCGTGAAAAAATGCACCTCCTTTCATCGAATAGTATAAAGACTATGACACCACTAAGGAAAGTGAAATTTTGATATAGGTAAATTCATGTCTTTATCTTGAATTTGATTGTTCAAAAACACGATTGTATAATTTTGACTCGATCATAATTATTTGCGAAAACACCTCTAAAAAATCACAATAGTTGAAAGTACAACGAAATTACTTAATCTATATGCTTGGAAATCACTCAAATATATTCATAACATCAATATTCATAATATACTTGCTCATTATTTTGATCACTTAAATCTGTAATTTTTTATAGTTTCTGAGAATTTCTAAGCGCTTTTAATCGTCGCGGGCGCTACGCTATTTTAGACCTTGTGACGGCGTTTTTTCAAGTTTTTATAGAAATTACGCATTCACTCGAATCAGTACGGCGATAGCCTTTTCGATGTGTCGTCTTAAACATTGCATTTAATTTTCAACTATATACGGCAAATAACTTGATAACAAATGAAGTTGGTGAAATTAAAACTATGCCGATAGATAGCCAATATCACAAAATACTATTACGCCAATATATTCAACTAAAGAGCTTCCCTCATAATAACAGTTTTCTGTAAACGGTGTCAAATATAACAGTATCGGTAGTCATTTTGCCAAACGCGGTAATTGCAGTTAATCATCACGATGATGGCCACTGGTCTGCGTATTTAAAGTTTTGATTCTAAACGAATGAGTAGGTACTATTATTAAATTTTATCAGTGACATCATTAGTTTATTTAGCAGTGAGTAGATGGCGCTGTTATTAGGTGAAATAATGAAAGACAAAACTATGCTATCTATTATAGTAATATCAGCGATAGAAGGTTGGAGGAGCGACTGAAAAGCCGCGAACTTTTATTTATTACATAAATAAGGCATAAAGTAACGTTGATTCTGCTAAAAACTCTGTGTTAAAAATATGCTATCAGCGCCGCTAGCGGTGAAAAACTATTTGACGATATGACCATAATATCATGAAATAGCAATATTGTTTAGTTATTTGAGTTTGATATCGTCATACGGACTCTATTTATTGATTCAGACAACTTTATTATAACGTGGTCAACAAACAGTGTTAAATTTCTACTACTATTTCAGGTTAAGATATGATAAGTCTACGATTTGGCCACGATATATATAAAAATCTCTTTAATCGAACTATAAGGATAAGGAGAATTTTGCAATAATTGCAGGCAGATCAAATTACATTATATTAGTAATTAAAATAGTAAAATAATAAAGTAATTAAAAAACTAAAAACCATATAGATTTTCATATTTTTGATAAACGTCACTATTATCTATTTAAGTTATTACACTTTTAAAATGATGTAACGAAAAGTTAAAAAAAAACGTTAGGATGTTTTAATAATTTTATTTATCTTATTATTTTAACATATAAATGTAATTTATTTAATTATATTTTATATTATTTAATTAGTTACTGAAGGAAAACTGTACTTTTTCTATTTGATAATATGGCGATGGCGCTTTTTGAAAACTAAAATGTAGATCGTCGACGTAGTTTCAAATTATTATAACAAAGGTTAAAACTAATCTGAAACTTTATTTATAAATATGCTATTAATTTGAAAAAATACTAGTCATCCTGCATATACATGAACAGACAAAATCATAATAGAAAATTAACATCTAAAGGAAGGAAAATACTTAACCTTCCTTTTTAGAAGTACTGTAATCGGAATAAAATTCGTCGAAATTTCGTCGAGATCTGTCCAGTAGTTTTTGCGTGAATCTTCAATACACGGACAGACAGACACACAAAATTTCTAAAAACCAATAATTTGACTTCAGTTTTTAGTCTCATGGACTTGTTTTTTCCAGGAAATATTAGAATTACAGACACGACTTTTCTACAGATTTATTATAATTATGTATAGATTTTTTTTATCTACAATAGTGATAATCCATATTCAATATATCACAATTTTACATACAACTCAAAATTTAAATTCAATGGAAAATTATGGTAGTCACTTAAGTATGCAGTCCACCAAATAGCTTAAGCATATTACATCAAGTTGATATTGATTTATTTTCATTATGTTAAAAAAGTCAATACAATATTATAGAGGTTTTTATTACCCATAAATGAAACACCTTCAAAAAAAACCTTTTTTGTTTTGGTACCCATACAATACTTTGAGAAATAATCTTCATTTTGCAAGTATAATATTTTATTTTATATTATTATTATATTAACTTTATACAAAAACAAGCTGTAAAGCTCTATTACACCCACTCAGGAGTTGAATTTTACAAAATTCATTCTTAGTGGGTGTCTATGTCGAGAAAAGAGTATAATATGACAAATTTCAACTCAATCAGACAATTGGGTGATATTTTGCTTAGAGCTAGGCTGCACTAAAAGTATCGGGAATGGAATATATCCACCGTTCCTGTCATATTAAAATCTTTTTAATTGAAAACTCCTTGGTTTTAAAAATCGAATACCATTTATTTATTTAAATAATTCAGTCTCGTTCTCGACGCTGACCCGAGTGTACACGCGCAGGAAATTCCTTACGCGGCGCACTCGCGCAATCTATTGATATACTACCTACATATCTGTAATTGTTAAATACGCGTCAGAATGGAGTGTCAAAAATGTAAGATGATTTTAGCGAAAAAAGGATCACACTTCATTTGCCAAGGACCGTGTGAAGGAACTTTTCATAAAGGTTGTGTTAAGGGTCTTTTGGCGGATATAAAAAGTGGGAGGAATCGGATCTATTGTAATAACTGTGAAGACGATGGATCTGAAGAAGAAGAACAGCAAGAATATTCACAGGACTACACTAAAAATCTCAAGGACATACAGCTAAAATTATCTGCCATTCCCGGGTTCAAAAAACAACTTGATACAATTACGCAAAGTTTGAGTATGCTTTCCGATAAGTATGATACATTGATAGTTGAACATGAACAATCAAAAGATAAAATACATAAGCTTGAGAAAACTGTCGCTGATATCAACAACAAATACGTCTATTTGCAAAAACAAAACACCGTCCTTGAACAAAAATTGGTATCTCGTAAACACAATATCGAGATTGTAGACGTTGAACAGCTTCCCGGTGAAAATGTCACAGAGATTGTCTCAAAAATAGGCGATATTATCAATGTGAGCAGTTCGGATATAGAATGGGCTAGACGTACTCGATCACCAAAAGAAAGCAAAAAACCACCGCCAGTTATCGTGGGCTTTAAGACTACAGGTACCAGGTCGAAGGACAGCTGGCTTACTAAGTGTCGCAACTTATCAGACACGACGAGTAATATGATTACAAATGGTTCGGCTTTGAATAAAATCTACATAAATGAAGACTTGACCAAGACAACACGAACCCTGCTATGGTGTACAAAGAAACAACTTCAAGGTATTTATAAATACATATGGGTCTCGAACGGAAAAATTATAGTCAAAAAATGTGAAGGTGAAAAAGCAATATGCGTGCGAGCCGAAAGTGACATTTGTGATCTACTTAACAAAAAGTGAAAATATTACTAACTCCAGTGCTTATAGTGTTTATTTTTCAATTCACGGACATAAGCAATATCGACTCCATATTACGCGATGAATCCATAAGTTATACGTGTCTTGATAGCATAAATACGTGGGTGCAACAAGTACACAATATCAAGGACTTACGTTTATTACATGTAAATATACGATCTTTAAAAAAACATTTTAATGAATTCCTAGTTACTCGGTAGTAATTTGAGCCAATTGGATATCATTGTGATAACTGAACCAAACATTAATTATTCTGTATTATCTTTTTACAAAATCCCTGGATTCAAAGTAAATATTTATACCCGACAAGGACGTAACGGCAAGGGTGTACTTGTGTATTCCCGGGCGGAACTCACTGCGCATGTAAGGAAAACGGCTGAGCTCGCGTGGTGTGTTATGCGCTCGGCGGAGTGCGTTTCCATTACACTCAACATTAATGGGGAGCATATTTATTTAATTTCTATTTATAGGCCGCCTCGTTTCCGCAACCAAGACAGAATTCGTGATTTTTTTGGTTGAATTAAGAAATTTATTTAGCAAATTACCTAAGCACTCAAAAGCAATATTCTGTGGTGACATAAATATTGATCTTTTAAAATATCAAGATAACAATGTCAAATTGTATGAAAATATAATGGTGGAATATGGTTTTGCCGGTGCATATGAAACACGAAGGGGAATAGTCATGGGTAACATTGTAGAATCGTGTTTGGACCATATTTATATAAGGGCACCTTTGTCTTATATAAATATATTAGTTGAATCAGCTGTAATACAACATAAGGTATCTGACCATTACTATGTATCGGCAGCGATACAACGGAAACGCGCTTCTTCCGTGAGTCATATCACCCACTCCGATAGTCGTACGCCTATGCGACCTGTCAATAGATGCGTTCTGAATAATCGTTTAGTTAGAGAAAAATTACTGTAATTTGTTGAATATTGAGTGCCCAGTTGAGTTGTACGAAGCTTTTTCTGGTATTTTTACTAATATATATATAATGAATGTTACAAATCGCAAACGGTTGGGGTAAATAAAAGTGTTAGAAATAAAGGATGGATAGGTGAAAATTTAAAAGGGATGATTTTAAAAAGAGATAGGTTATTTGCTATATGGTGCAATGAACCAAAAAATATGATAAAGAGATTAAATTATACTAAATATAGGAATAAATGTAGTAAGGCTATTTTTAAATGTAAAATGAAATATGATAAACAAAGTATACTAGACTGTAATAAAAATATAAAGAAATTATGGGATAAGATAAATAGATTACTGGGTAATGAAACAAAATCACTAGACGACTTAATACTTTCTAATATGGGAAACCAAGGCAGTGTAAAAGAAATTTGTGATAAGTTTTCTGATAACTTTTTAAGCGCAGTCGACCTCATAAGGCACACATGTACAGAAAAATGGTTAGTGAGGGACAATTACGTTTATAGACCTGATGTATCTATGAGATGGCAACCGGTCAGTAGTGGAGAAGTCAAACGTGTTATTAATCTATTAGATAAAAATAAATCGCCGGGAACTGATCTCGTACGGATGTCAGACTTAAAGTTAGTTGTTGACAAAATAAGTCCTGTCATAGCTAATATAGTTAACTTGCGTAGACAGAGAAACCTATAGACAAATTGACGCCATCTTTCGCATTCGCACACGAAAAAGATAGATTTATGCATACGTCTTGCATAGAAATAAGATAGAGCGGTGTGATTGTTTGACCCTATCTCCGTGCCGGTTTTTTTGTTTAGCAAACTCTACAGTTTGCTAAACAACTTTAACAGCGTAGCGATTTAAGGAGTTTACAAGTTGGTTTAAGTGAGAAAAAAGTGTTTTGTGAGCTTAAGATTGGTGAATCTTGTTCAGTTCAGTTCTTAGAACAATTAAAATTTTTATCTAAATGTGTTTAAAAGTCATAAAGATTATTGTATAACCTAAAAATTCGTTATCGTCCTTTCTCACTCGAGGCCACGCCGATCATTAGTCTATAGGTTTCTCTGTCTACGTTAACTTGTCTGTAAAGCACCATAGATACCCGAATAAATTAAAAGAAGCTATAATTAACGTGGTAGAGCCATGCTGCAATTATATTAGTAGTATAGTTGTAGCACGAATGGGTCGGCTCGACCGGGGAAGGACCACGCTCTCACAGAATACCAGCGTGAAATAGTAGCTTAATGCTGCTGTATTTCGTATGGTGAGTGTAGAGAACCGGAGACCCTTTTTACTGGAAATGAGGCATTCCATCTCAGTCCTCACGGGTGACAACGCATCTGCATTTTGATTTGTAATGGAAGATAGATGTAGATGTCTATGGGCCGCAGCAACCACTTACCATCAGGTAGACTGTGTGCTCGTTTGTCACCCTATCCTATAAAAAAAAAATTCGTCCAGTCCATAAAAAGGGTGATCGTAAAATTTTTTCAAACTATAGACCAATTGCTATATTATCTAGTATCGATAAAATTATTGAGAAATGTATAACAAATCAACTTGGATTTTATTTACAAAAAAATAACATATTAAATGAACGCCAACACGGTTTTCAAAGGGGAAAAAGTACGAATACATTATTATCAAAATTTACTGACGAAATTAACTCATATTTAGGAGATAAAAAATTTGTCGTTGCTATTTTTTACGATTTCAAAAAAAGCATTTGATATTGACCTTAGAAACAGAAACACTCTTAAATGGAATGGACGAATGTGGCGTGGGACAGCCGTTAAACCAGTGGTTCCGTGACTATCTTGCATCACGCATTTTCCGTGTAAAGGTTGATGGCACGTTTAGTGAGGCGACTGAGGTGAGGTACGGGGTGCTTCACAAGCCTCACAAGGCTTGGGATGTGGGCCTATTTGCTACTTACTGCATTTTCACAGCTTACAATATATGTGACGTACTTCAGCATAGCTCTGCATACATGTTCGCAGATGACCTATGTACATTACGTGCTGGTACTAATCTCATGGAGGCATGTCACCTATTACAACAAGACATGACTCAGTAGTTAAATTAATGGTCCCATGATAATGGTATCGTCTTAAACTCAGATAAAACCAAGTATCTTATCATTTAGTCGCCTTATCTACGTCCTACCGACTCGTCTCCTCAAATGTATACTCATAACTTTGAGTGCCTCCATAATGGTCTAAATAATTGTCGAAGTGAGCATATCGAAAAAGTCGATTGTGTAACCTATAGTTCATAAAAGATAGCTTGATCTCTGCGACAGCTGTCAGCATGGGCATGCAACTTAGAACATTATTTTGAAAACAAAATGATTTTTTTTGTGCTGCCATTCTCTACATTCCAAAGCACTAGACAAAATTAGACGCACCACGCCACTACGCAGTTAATGGCGGTCAGTGATAGTTGAGGTTAATTTGATATTAATATTAATTTCAAATTATTCTGATTTCTTGTTTGTTTATATGCTTTCTTGTATTATAATAAATATTTGCGACCCAGTGTTTTTTTTTAATGTGTGCAAAAATGTGAAGAAGAAGAAAAATGGCAATGTGTTTTTAAATGTGACGAATTTGGTAAGGACTTTTTTAATATTCGCATAATTTCGGGTTTTTGTTCAATTGTAAACAGCTAATATCCCTAATATCTAAGAAATTTAAGGTTGGAGTTGGGGCATGGTATGTAATGATCAAAAGTCCACTGCTATGCATAGGTCTTGTAGGCACTATTTGCCATAGCTGCCACGCTTGGTAGGCGGGTTATTGCCCATCTCCTGTTTCAGTTTCCCTCTCTCGCCTCGAAATTAATGATAATGCAGTGCAACCTCGATATAACAAATCGGAAGGGAACAAGTAAGTAAATATTGGTTATATCAAGTAATTCATTGAACTGAGGTTTGTTGTGTTGAGGTTAGTTTGGTCGAAAATCTGTTACAAAGAGGTAAAAAATCGCGACATGAATCACATACTACCTATGCGATTAATTAAAAGATATAGTGGCTGGAATTTAATAATAATAATATCCTGCAGACCGAATTTCGGTCACGACGGTCAGCCTCAACAGAGACTACTATCGGCACAGGACAGGATTATAGTGCCAAAGAGGTAAAAAAATCGCGACATGAATCACATACTACCTATGCGATTAAGGGTCATACATTGGTGGGAACTTTATATAAAGGTTTTGGGTTGACAGAATTCGTTAATTAGTGGTATTTACACTTTTCTTGATAGTTGAAAATTCGTTATAAAGAAGTTATTCGTTATACTATATTTTACATCGTTATATTTTTCATTGACTTATAGACAATTCATGGGGATTACGAGGTACGTTATATTAAGGTTCCACTGTATTTTATCATTTCAGATATTTTACACTACTTTCCTAGACCGGAATACCCTTCAATTGAAAGGTTTCAGCAATGGAAGGGGATAGCTGGAACATATTTAAAAGATAAAACCGATTGTGAAATTTACAATAACCACCTCATTTGGATCGGCACTTTGAGGATCGTTTTTTATATCCTCATACCAAAAGGCTTGCAAAAACAGCTTATCTTAGTCGTAAGCTTGGTAAGTCTTTATTAAAAGCTTTCTCACTGTCGTGTTTATTAACTATTGTTTTAGCAATGCAAAATAAAGAAACTCACTTTCATGTTGTAATATTAGTAAAGATGATCAAGCAAACTTTTAGTTTTTACTTATTATAGGTGTGTTAGTATATAGCTTGACTACAACATCTACAACAACCCCACCCGGTGGTAAGTGGTTATAAAGCCCTAGATAGCACATTGGCTTAGCACTTTCACTTTTACCTTAAAGAATTTTTTTTAAATAATATTTTGAATTTTTAGGGTTCCCTAGTTACACAAAAGGAACCCTTATAGTTTTGCCAAGTCTGTCCGTCTGCAGTTTCACTCAGACCCTAGGTGCTACAAATTTGTAATTTGGCATAATTATAGATATTAATCACGCCTACGAAAAACTGTAATACAAAATCTTAA